TATAAACATTTAATCATTTATTTATTCATTTATTTTTATCTTGGTACGTTACGGGAGGTTAAAAGGTCGCCCCTGGTGGGTCCTACTTCTGTACTTTCCCGGAAGCCCACCTCCTCCTAAATGATCTAAATTGTGACGATGGGGGTGTAAAACACTTACATAATGCGAGATATAATATAATAATATGTGCAGTTAGGAAAAACTCTCCGAACAATACAGTTCTGCCCTAAAACAACGTATCTCCAAGTGTTGTCGATTGACCAGACTGCGGGTCCTCAACGAGAAATTGACTTATAGCCTTCTGAGACGGGTGATGCATCCATCTACTGGAACAAACTAACAGAACAAACACACAAACAAATAAACTAACAGTTTCACAAGATGCCTTACCAGATTAGACGAAGCAAGAACAAACGTACAAACAAACAAACGTACAAACAAACAAACCAACAAACAAACAAACAAACAAACAAACACACCTACACACAAATAATCGTTCGAAAAATAAGCACACACACAAACAAACAAACGTTTTGACGAGATGTCTTACCAGAATAGAGCCAAGAACAAAACAGCAGCAACAACAACAACAACAACAACGACAGCAACAACAACAACAACAACGACAACAACAGAAACAACATCATACAAACAAACGCTTTGACAAGATGTCTTATCAGAATAGAGCCAAGAACAAAATAGCAGCAGCAACAACAACAACAACAACCGCAACAACAACAACAACAACAACAACAACAACGACAGCAACAACAACAACGACAACAACAACAACAACAACAACAACAACAACAACAACAACGACAACAACAACAACAACAACAACAACAACAACAACGACAACAACAACAACAACATACAGACGAACGCTTTGACGAGATGTCTAACCAGAGAAAAAACAAAACAAAACAAACAAACAAAAATAACCCCACCATCCCAAATTTCCCCCAGCCCCGGGAGCGTCAATGTGGACATGACCTTGACCTTCGATGACCCCGCAGTCAGCACCGATGACGTAGCAGTGTCCTTGACCGGCGCCTCTGATCAGTTCGCGGAGGGTCCAGTTCAGGATGTCATCGCCACCACAGGTAGGTCACGGGGTCACAGGGTCATGGGGTCACAGGGTCATGAGGTCACAGGGTTTCGACCGTTGTAAAGAAAATGATATTGTTTTTGTAAGGGGCTACGGTTTTTGTAAGGTAATAATGCAATTTTTGTAAGGAGATACGGTTTTTGTAAGGTAATAATGCAATTTTTGTAAGGAGATATGGTTTTTGTAAGGTAATAATGCAATTTTTGTAAGGAGATACGGTTTTTGTAAGGTAATAATGCAATTTTTGTAAGGAGATACGGTTTTTGTAAGGAAGTAATGCAATTTTTGTAAAGAGATACGGTTTTTGTAAGGTAATACTGCAATTTTTGTAAAGAGATACGGTTTTTGTAAGGTAATAATGCAATTTTTGTAAAGAGATACGGTTTTTGTAAGGTAATAATGCAATCTTTGTAAGGAGATAAGGTTTTTGTAAGGTAATAATGCAATTTGTATAAAGAGATACGGTTTTGTAATGTAGTATTACAATTTGTATAAGGAGATGAGGTTATTGTAAGGTAGTAATACAAGTTCTGTAAGGAGATACATCTAATCATTTTTTTGTAAGTGAGTAATGCAATTTTTGTTAGGAGATACAATGAGTAATAAGATTGTTGTATCGTTGTAATACAATTTTTGTAAAGGGAGCCAATATGTAGTACGTTTTTGTAAAGAAGTAACGCAATCATTGCTAGTAAGGAGATAGGTGTATAAGATTTTTATAGGGAGATACATGTGACAAGTTGTTTTTTAAATGTTTTTTTGTGGTGTTTTTCTTTGTAAGGGATATGATGCAATCACTGTAAGGAGATACATGTAATGTGTTTTTTATATGAGATATTATCACTAGTAATACGTTTTTTTGTGTGTAAGGGGGAAGTGCAATTTTTGTAAGGAGATGCAATATGTTATAAAGTTTCTTGAATGAGAGTAATGTAATTCTTATTAAAAATTATGTGTAATAAGTTAGTTTTTGTTTTGTTTTTTCCGTAAGGAAGTAGTACGATTTTTGTAAGGAGATACATCTAATAAGATTTTTGTAAGGAAGGAATGCAATTAATTTTTGTAAGGAGTTACTAATAAGTTTTAATTTGTAAGGGTGTAATGCAATTTTTGTGCTGGAGTTACTAGATCTAGTAATAAGTTCTCTTTTTGTACGGTTTTAGTAAGTTGTATGATATTTCTTAACTATTTTGGGTTTAAATATGAGAGGTTATAAAGATTTTGTGATAAAGATGCTAAGTTTTTCGTAGGATATTGGTAGATGTGGTAACGTTTTTTTGTCAGCCAGATGATGTAATTATGTTACTTTTTCATTTCTGTAAAGGAAAGGATACGTCTTTTTGCGAGAGATATGATGAGTTTTTAAAATATCTTTTTTGTTAAAAAAATTCTACCTTTTTAGGGGGTAAGAAAATGGGCACATTTTTTTTTACAGTAAACGTTCTCGTAAGAGAAATGATAATGTATTTTTTAAAATAGGTTTTGGTCCGAGATTTAATAATATTTTTGTTACAGAAAAATGTATTTGTTGTTGTTGTTGTTGTTGTTGTTGTTGTTGTTGTTGTTGTTGTTGTTGTT